ACATCCTTAGACCAACGAAGAGAGTTATCACCTTGAGTTGGTGGTTTCTGACAACGGTTGTAGCCCCGTGTGCCAACAAGCCGGTCGTATCTACCACCCACTCCCTATAGGTATTCACTCTTGCCCCCGGGTATAGAGGAACTGTTGTGTGCAAGAGTTTTTGTGTGCAATTTATATTTCAGACAATTTGCAGAAAATAATCATACAACAATTATTAAAGCCATATACAATAAAACATACGGAAGAGAGTAAAGGCGTAATTTCAAATCTTTACTTAGTTTGAATTTATCCGTCACTAAATGGGATCAACTCTCTAGCTTCCCCAATGGAGTCGCCATCTGTCGCCGCCGTCCGTTCCGACGTCCAGGGACATCTCGAACGTTTATGTGATCGGTCGTGAAAAGATGGTTTAGACTCGCGTTTTTATGTTAAAATTATGTTCATTGCTTCCGAGGTGCTCAACAACTGAACTATCCTCTAATAAAAGCAAGGTTTTCGAAAAGGGGTTCTTATGGAGTCGCCACCAATGTTTTGACCGTAAACATTGGAAAAGGATAAAAAGGCGTTGATTTTAAGAAAAACCAAACTTGGCCATTATAACCAGAGTTGGGTAAGGGAGTTAGTTACGTGTGGGGAAGGTGTTAGCACCCCACAACGCCCCTTTCGGGTTCCCTATGACAGATTCATTCATTAAGTGAAGATTACGAGAAATTACGCTATTATCCTATTTTATTGCATAATATTGAAAAAAATGACTATCTACATGACTTTATTTCATATTGCATACATAAAGCAATAAATAAAGCAATAAAAGAAAAGAGAAGTGAAAAGAACCTCCGTAGCAAGCTTTATATTACAAATCTTTAACCGTTAGGATGCATTTTGGCAATCCCCCACTCTACAAAGACTCTCCTCCCGAAATACAATATCGACTTGACTAAATTTTAAAGAAGAATTGAATGCTGGAATATAATTCCTTAACCGATTGTTACCTTTTTAAGGCAATCGAAGAGTTCATTCGAAGTAGGGAGAGAAGACAAGTGTCTGGAGTGTCTGGGGTGTGAAAAAGTGGCAAATGAGCCTCCTATTTATAGTTTTCGCAGCCTGGCACCTTGGGACGGTCCTCTGGAGCTCAGAAAACAGGGATGGGCATCTGGGGAAGTTGGGACGGCCGTCTGGGATTTGGGACGACCGTCTCAAGCCTCCAAATCAGTTGGGACGGCCGTCTGGACTTCTGGGACGGCCGTCCCAACTTCTGGGATGGCCATCTCGACTGTTTTTGCCAGCTTTTGTATTCT